CAGACAACCTCTCGTCAATATGCGTTTTTCGCATTGCATTGCTGCAAAAAACGCATAAAAAATGAGCCAAATTTAACGATACCGAGTGGAGCAGCAGATGCTAGAGAAGTAACACAGTACGCGATCCTAATGGCTGTTACTTCGTCCAATGCCGATAGATCACCAAGTACATTCCACAAAGCATGTGTAACGTCGACGAAGTCGAAGCGCCCGGATTTACACAGTCGACCCAGAAAAGGCACAACACAGCAAACAGCCTGCGCTTCGAACTGCTGCTTACAGATCGTGTCGATGAAGTTGCACACCGCAGTCGACCTACAAATGCAGTACTATAACAAACAGACACTACCACTCTGCGTCTTCTCCGCTCAATAATATCAAGGCCGAAACGAAAGCGTTTTTAACAAGTAACAGAATTAACAATATCTCACACGTAGCAAGAGAATCAACAGCAACAGAATTAACAAAATCTCGGAGAGGCCTCTCTATCCACACATTCTCTAGATCAAGCATTTTTATGAATTTTTTGCATCTATGCAATGTAAAAACGTATATTGTTGAGAGGTTATCTATGTGTGCATTTGTGTGTTCGGTCTGTGCCAATTTTTCATCTCGAGAACTACAAAAGCCACAAGGCTGAAACTTTGGAAACTTAAACTATATGCATGTAAGAGTCCACATCCCCCAAAAGGGCGTCCTTTTCCACGTAGTTCACACGTACGGGCCTGTGAAAGTTTTTCACCTGGAACCTGAAAAGACAGAAGGCTGGAATTTTAAAAGGATTTCTCTCTTTCACACAGAATCTAACGAGTTCAATGCCAGCTGCCAAGTGGGCGTGCTGCAAATGTACGAGCATGTGAAACTTTTTGGCGAGTAAGTTGTTAACATAGGAACCTGAAAAACTGAAATTTTAAGGAGTGTTCTCCGTTCAAGCAGGATTTAATGACTTCAAATTCAGCCCCCGGATGTGCGCAGTTCCTGCGTACTAGCCCGTGAAAGTTATTAGCGGGTAAGTTGCTAATTTGGTAACCAGAAAAGCTAGAAAGCTGAAATTTTAAGACGTTTTTTTGACGGTCAAGGTGGCAATATGTCGGAAAAAACAGTGCCGGTCAATATGTCGGAAAAAACAGTGCCGTTAGTGGGGGATTATGCAAAAATGCATCTTCACATCGACAGTTGGTGCGCTGGCCAATATTTTATATTCATGCAAGCAGACACGTGCTGACTGGTACGCTAATACTCCGGGCTTCCTAATATATATTCGTCCTGGCAGTTATTAAACACTCACATCGACGCACATGTACCACTGCTAACATCAGGAAAGTCATTTCTTCAGCATACTAATTTCAACGAATTTTCGTCATTTTTTTCAGTCCCATCACAGTCTCACACAAATATTGGCGCATCTTCTTACAAAAAGCGAATGTATGAATTACTTTTCCTTTCCATTCATTTGAAAAATGCACTTGGGGTTTCTAAAACTAGAGTAAAGCACTAAAAAAAGAGGCTTACTTTTCGGCGGAACGCTGTATCGGTAGCAACAGCAGTTCAAGAAGCGACTCGTTACGTGCGGAGAGACTTTCTTCAATGGTCAGAGCTGCAAAATTTGCACAAAAAATAATTCACAAATTGTTCGAGGATAGAAATTGGAAGCGTTCAGAGGAAAAATTATTGAATTTAGTAAATTTTAGAGACGAGTGGGCAAATTCATCCGGAAGGTAATCGTGAATATTTACAGAAGTTAGAATGTTTGTCATGGCATTTATCATGTGCCAAAATCGTCGCTGAAGGAAATTAAGAAAATTGACACGAGTGGATAAATTTTCGGCGGAAGAATTTTAGGCATGGAGTGGAAAACAGGCACTTGATTTTCCTGGTATCTATCTTTCGGTAATATACAAAAAGAACTATGACACAAAGACCGACTGGATTGGTCATGCAGCAAGTATGAGAGGCGATAGGTGAAGGCACCTACTCCGTGGCTAAAGAACAGTAGAAAGGCTACCGGTACGCTGAATCGATCGAGTAACTTGAATTTACTGCATGGTGTGTGAGAGGGGAGCAGATGGAGAGAGATAAATTAGTGGCTTTTTTTCAGGTGCAACTAGATACATATTTTGGCTGCGAAAAGTGTGGTAAAAAAGTTAGTTCGTAGGAACGAAGGACATACGTTTGGGGAGCTGATAATGTTTGCAGAAGAGTGACATGACCGAGTGATAATAGCCGGAGTGGAGCAAGCTTGCACAGTCCTCTTCCCTTGCATAGATTTCGATGAATCTCAGAGCGGCCGTATAGGGCTGTGTTCGGCCGACGTTCGCCAGTGCAGTTGTTGCGCATCTTAGTAACTGTTGCCGTCGTCTTCTTTCCAGGACATCCTGAGCACTTGTCGACTGCGCCAGCATCACCGCATCATTGCAGAGAGAAAGCTGAACATAAAATAACTGCGCCACGCAGTATCAAATAAAACGTAACACTAATAAAAAATGGCAAACGCACGGGCTGCCCGTGCGAAGATGCGTTTTTTGCAGAGTTCCCCGCAGGTTTTTGTCGCTACC